CCCCCCCCCAAAAAAAAATGAGGGTAGAAGATGACAGTTTCAATGGAGTACTTGAAATGTATGCCCCCCCCCTTAATAAATCAAAAGTAAATTCAAAGCCTGTTGTATTGGCACATGCCTGTAATCCCAGCACTGGGAGACTGAGACAGAAGGATTCATTTTGAGGCTAGCCTGGGCTGCCTAGCAAGACACTGTCTCAACCAAACAAGTGAATTCACTCAGTGCTCAAAAATGTTTCAAAGCCAAGCACCAGTGTCTCACACCTGTAATCCTGGCTACTTAGGAGGCTGAGATCTGAGGATCTAGGTCCAAAGCCAGCCCAGGCAGAAAAGTGTGAGACTCCAATTAACGTCTCAGAAAAAGGCCAGAAGTGGCACTGTGGTTCAAGTGGTAGAGCACTAGCTTTAAGCAAATAAAGCTCCGAGACAGCATTTAGGCCCTGAGTTCAAGTCCTAGGACCGGCAAAAAACATGGTTCGGGGCCAGGTGGCCATTTTGCTTGGAGTCTTATACTCTGAGACACATAATCAGGAATGTGGCTTAGTGGTAGAGTGCTTGCCTAGCATGCATAAAGCCCTGGGTTCCATTACTCAGTACCACCTAAACAAACAAACAAACCAGAAGTGGTGCTGTAGCTCAAATGGTAGAGTGCTAACCTTGAGCAAAAGAAGTTCAGGGATAGTGCCCAGCCCCTGAGTTCAAGCCCCATTACTGGCAAAATAAAATAGAAACCACATCTATAGCTGACTATTGTTCAGTCCTTTGTTTAGAAGTGTAGATAGCTTTTTCCCTCCTCCTTCTCCTTCCGGCTCAACCAACATCAAACAACCTACAAGACACTGTTCCCCAGCTGAATGCCTCTCTTCCCTTACCCAGGGCATCCAGCGAAGGATCACAGTGACCATTATCCACGAGAAAGGAAGTGAGCTCCACTGGAAAGATGTTCGGGAATTGGTGGTAGGTGCGTACAACAGTCCGGCTCTTTAGCAGTGTCATTATTCCCCGCTTTGGAGTACAGGGAATGTGTAGAAGGTTGTTCTGGGCAGGTAGAGGCCTTGAGTTTGAAACTTGTCTTGGTTGTGAGGTGTAGCTGAGCACCGGTAGGCAGCCTGGGAGAGCCACTCAGGATCTGTGCTGACCCCTGACCTCCAAAGACTTGAAGTTACACAGAGATTGGAAAGTCTCTTTTTGGCTTAATAACTCTCCTATTTTGAATATGTCTGTCTTATGGTTCCTTTATCTTTTCTTCTAGGCCGGATTAGGAATAAGCCTGAGGTAGACGAAGCTGCCATTGATGCGATCCTCTCCTTAAACATCATCTCTGCCAAGTCCCTGAAGTCCTCTCACAACTCCAGCAGGTGGGACTCTTAAGGAGTAGAATGGGTCAGCCCTTACTGGGGGATGAAGGGGGAAATTAGACTCACTGTTTGCTGGGTCTTCCCGTGTGAATGAGAACACAAATTCCCTCCTCATTCTAAAAAAAACCATATTTCTTCCCTTACCCACTCTGCTTTCCAAAAAGGAAGAAATGCCTGGAGGTTTGTGTATGTGATCAGCTACCTCTAGGGAATGGACCTGCTTTGTCCATGAGTAGAAAGACCACTTAAAACTCAAGCACGCTCCCCAAGGGGATTAGGGTCTGGGGATCTAACTCAGTGGTCAGTAACTAGGAAGAATAACTTGCCTGGCATGCTTAAGGCCCTGGGTTGGATCCCCAGTACCACCACCAAAAAAAAAAAGGAAATGTTCAGAGTGCTCATACAAGTGAAATGGCGGCTGTGGAGAAAGGCTTTGCACTCTTCTTCCAAAGAACAATGAAGCCTCTGGGCTTAGTTCTTGCTTCTCATTTTCATTTTTGTGTAAAGTTAATATAATCTCTTACCCTCAAGATTGGCTGCTATCAGTAATAGATTTTTTTTTTCTGGTCCTGGATCTTGAACTGGGGGCCTGGGTTATTGCTGAGCCTTTGTGCTCAAAGCTAGTGCTCTACTATTTGAGCCACAGAGCTACTTCTAGCTTTTTCTGAGTAGTCTCCTAGAGATTAGAGACTTGTGGACTTTTTTGCCCAGGCCGGCCTCAAACCATGATCCTTAGATCTCAGCCTCCTGAGCCACCAGTGCCCAGCTTTTATTTTGTTTTTATCCGTAAACTATGTTTCTTTATATTCCCTTTTTAAATTAAGTGATGGCAGACCATGCATAAGGTTCAGATTAGATGGGAAGTGAGCCTCATGGGTTCCTTTATCTTGGCAGGTAAGCTGTTAGGTCATTGTTGCAGTGACTCCATATCCTCAAGTCAGAAGGGCTGGGAAACAGGAGTGGTAGGGGCTTCTCTGTGCTTCTTTTTTTTTTTTTTTTTTGCGGTTGTGGGGCTTGAACTCTGGGCCTGGGTGCTGTCCCTCAGCTCTTCAGCTCAAGGCAAGCACTCTACCACTTGAGCTACAGCGCCACTTCCGGCTTTTTTCTTTTTGCTTATGTGGTGCTGAGGAATGGAACCCAGGGCCTCAGGCATGCAAGGCAAGCGCTCTACCACTGAGCCAACTTCCCAGCCCTAGCTCTGCTTTTTAACTCACGGTGCTCTACCACTTGAGCCATGGCTGTGTTACCAGATTTTTTGGTAATTAATTTGGGATAAGAGTCTCAAGAACTTTCTTGCCCAGGCTGACTTTGAACCACTATCCTTGGATCTCAGCCTCCTGAGGAGCTAGTAGTATAGGCATGAGCCACTGGTGCCTGGTTGTTTTTTAAACAAGTCAAAATTTCTAGATATTTTGAAAACATTCAGATAGTTTCATTGAAACTATTTCTTTTAGCCTTCATGTTTCATCGATATATTTAATGTTTAATTTAACTAGGTAATTATAATAATAAGCACAGCTGGACACCGGTGGCTCACGTCTGTAATCCTAGCTACTCAGGAGGCTGAGATCTGACGATCATGATTCACAGCCACCCTGAGCAGGAAAGTCCATGAGACTCTTGTCTCCTGTAAACCACTCAGAAAACTGGAAGGGGTGCTGTGGCTCAAGCAGTAGAGTACTCACTTTGAGCTGAAGAGCTGAGGGACAGTGCCCAGGCCCAGAGTTCAAGACTGACAACCAACAAAATAAATAAATAAATAAATAAGAAGAAGCACAACTTTCATAATGTAAGCAAGCAGATCAGTACTTTGGGGCTAATTGGGCATAAGGGACATCTTGCATGTGTTCATATCAGGTATTTGAGTGAGGAGGAAAACATAGGTTAATAAAGTGCATTGCTAAGTGAGTATGGTTATAAGAGCACTTTGTTCTAGTTGGCTAAAGCTTAATGTTTTAAGTTGTATAGAACTCTAAATTAGATGCATTGTGTATGTGTCTTAGAGGGCTTTTCTGGGACATTGATAATGGAGTATATATGATTGACAAAGACCATTGTTCATTTTCTTTCTAGTCCCATATTTTTTTTTAAATTTTATTTTATTTTATTTGTGAACAAACTGTACAGAGGGGTTACAATTGCATGGGCAGGATAATGCATACATTTCTTACCAAGCATTGCAGCCTCCTCCTTTGTTTACCCTTCCCATC